ACGTGTTGAGTTTGAGTGTGGGTGGAGATGTCTAGATGGAGCTATGGAAGTGCGGTTTTGGGACCCACGGCATGGGCATTGCCTCGAGCTTGTTACAAACATGGAACAGGGCCTGCCCCAGACCTGCTGAACCAGAAGCTGCATTTCGACGACACCCCAGGTGCTCTGTGTGCACGTCGCAGGCTCTGCGTTAGAGGTTAGCCGGGCATGTGGGGCCGATGCTCAGGAGAGGGGTCTCGGCAGGAAAGAGAAGTGCGGCAGTGGTCAGTTCCAGGTGATGACTGTACATGACACATTTCCAGGGTGAGCGTGTGGAGTTGTGAAGAGGGAGACAGGATGTGGGGTCTTTGCTTGGATCGTCACACTCACGGCTCAGCGATAGCATCGCGGAGCTGCACGGGATCACACACGCCGAGCCCTGGACGGCAGCCAGCCTGTTGTAAAACATGCTATTTGCGGCCATTATCTCAAGACACAGCAATTTCCCCAGACACCCGTTGGATGAACCAGGACTGGAACCTGGTGTCAGAACCCTTACTGTCCCCTGTCCCATTCTTGTCATTGGGCCATGCTGTGGGGGAGGGGGCTTTGCAGTTTTCTTACAGTGTCAGGGCGGGAAATGTGAACAAGTAGAAAAAAAAGCATACATGATGCTCAATAGATGCTCATGAAGGTTTGTTGCTCAATTAAGGTTTGTTAAGTGTTGCTCAAACAAATGATGGAAAATGAATGATAAAAACTGCTTTCAGATTCCAAAAGCGCATTCCTATTGGTAACCTCAGTTTGATCTTTACAACATCCTTGTAAGTAGGCAAGACAGGAATGACTCATGCTCTCATTTTTAAAACATAAGAGCTATTGAGATATAATTTACATACCATAAAATTCACCATCTTAAAGTACTGTATAAGTCAGTAGTTGTAGTATTAATATAGTTACAAGGTTGTGCAACTATCACCACTATTTAATTGCAGAACATTTCCATCACCCCAAAAAGAAGCCCTGTGCCCATTAGTGGTCACTGCCTGTTCCCTCCTCTTCCATCCCCCGGAAACCACTTTTTGTCTCTATGGATTTGCCTGTTCTGTACATTTTTATGTAAATGTAATCACGCAAGATGTGTCTGGCTTCCTTCACTTAGAATGTTCCTGAGGTTCATCTGTGTTATGGTATATATCAGCACTTCATTCCTTTTATGGCTGAATAGTAATCCACTCCATGGACATACCACGTTTTTGTTTATCTGGATATCAGTTGAGAAGCATTTAGGTAGTTTCTTCCTTTTGGCTATCATTCATAATGCTGTTATAAACATTCGTGTAGGAATTTATGTATAAATGTTTGTTTTCATTTCTCTTGGGTAAATGGCTAGGACTGGAATTTCTGGGTCATATAGTAACACCACATTGAGCTTTTTGAGGAACTTCCAGATAGTTTTCCAAAGTGACTACACCGTTGTACATTCCCACTAGAAATGTATGCAGATTCCAGTTTATCTTCCCCCAAACTTATTATCATCTGTCTTTTTGATTGTAGCCATCTTGGTGAATGTGAAATGGTCATACTCTTATTTTACAGTTAAGAAAACTAAGGGTACATTATTTGCCAAAGTTTGTAGAGCTAGTAAATGGCCAAGCTGAGCATTTTTTTAAAAAGCAAATACTTATGTGCTGCATTCTCTGTACAAAGCATTAGGTCTATTGTTCTTATTGTCATTTAATCTTTACAACTATAGTTAATGAAGGTACTGTTATCATCTTTATTTAAAAGCGGATACAAACCGGGACTGGGCTTGTAGTGAGGCCAGAGAGGCACTTGGGGCACAACATTTAATGAGACATCACCCTCAGTTTCCCACCAGCGCTTGCATAGCCCTGATTGTATCTCCTTTAATATTGCATCCTAGGTGCTTTGCTGGCATGTCCTAATCCTGGCCCTGTTTGAAGAAACTGAGGCATAAAAAGATTGCGTTTCCAACGTTTCCAAACTTAGCAAGTGGCAGAGCTGGGATTCAAACTCAGGAAACTTGGCTTCAGGGTCCATGTCATAAACCACTAACCTATGCTGACCCCCACGTCTCTGATCTGCAAACTACTTTTTCTAGTTTCTTTCTCAAGACATAACTTTTAGAAATTAGCCAGAGCTTTGACAAGGAGGACTTCCAAAGTAAAATCTCGGGGATGGGTTCTGGGGAGACCATGCAGAATTATGCAACTTAACAGCCCCCCTGGGCTCCTACTGCATGTTCTCCTAGAAGGGTTAACTGGCCACACAGATCTCCACAGCCACATGTGTACTTATCATCACAATTCTGCATAAATCTGCCCAGTTCCATGGAGGCCCCCCTGAAAGCGGCCAGATGGACTCTGTCCTGGTGGGGACGAGGCCATTCGGAACTGTCAGGATTATTAGCTCTGACCAGTTGTAAGGAAAACAAATGTTTCCTGGCCAAGTGGGAATGAATCTGCTGCTCGTCCAAGTGTTCTGAGTCAAATACTCGGAAATGAGATCTCTCATAATCACACCCCAACTTGTTGCTCATTCTCTTTTGTTTATCAGAATTCGCTGGCCATTTGCTTTCACACCACCGTCTTTCCAGTGATGCTGCTATTCCAGGGGGTCTGACATGGTCTCCAATTTAGGCAGAGCCTCCCACAAGGCAACATGAATTCGGAGATACATGTGTGCTTGTATATGTTACCCCGTGGGGGTGATGGGCAGCCTTTGGGAGGGTGCTGACAAAGGCATCAGCCAGCAGGTTCTGCCTCTGCTCCCCGGCAGAGAGCCCGCGTCCGTCCTGGCCCGTCTGTGCTTACTGGGTGAGCTACACAGGGCAGCCTGTCCCGGCCAGCAGGTCTTGTGTGTCTCCATCTGCCGCAAACCTGAGGGTTTTTGTTTGCATTTACGACTACCTTTACGGAGGTACTCTTACCGTCTTTGTTTATAAACGACTATGAGGCCAGGACTTCTGTCTTTCTCCACTAACAATGGTAATTTGTGCTGTCGAATTTTCACCTTTTTGTCTGGAATTTCAATTTTATTCTGTGATTCCGTTCCTCAAAGCTGTGAGTCCGTGGACCAGCAGCACTGGCATCTCCTGGAAACTTGCTGGAAATGCAGACTGTCGGGCCTCTCCCAACAGCTCCTCAACCGGAGTCTGCAGCGTAATAGATCCGGAAGATTCCTGTGCACACTCCAGTTTGAGAATCGCTTTTCCACGTGTCTTCCTTTCTCTGTTGTCTTCAGTGAGGGTCTCCACCCAGTTCTTACTGTTAGGCTAGAATTTTGGTAGCTTTCAGTTCTTAAACACACACACACACACATACACACACACACACACACACAGAGAAATTCTTTCCTTTGCCTTTGCATGATGTCATTCATTTTACCTGGCCTGCCACAAGAATGAAAAAGGCAAATTGCATTCAAGTTATATATATTTTTAAGACTAACTTCTTAATTGCATCTCTTAAATCCCCCGTCATTAACAGAGTCCCAAGTCTTGCCAAGATTAATTGAGAAATGCCTAAAGGCAAAATAAACACTGCAGAGGTGGTTTAATTCAAAACCATATCAGGTAAGAATGGAGGTGCAATTAGTGATAAAGATGTTAATAATTAGTTGTGGTCTGTTAAATTTTATATTCGGTGATTATGCAGAGTGAAGAAAGAATTTTTTCATGAGGGCAGAAATCAATGTTTCACCTTGATTGCTATTTTAATGTGCTTATTTTAATGGGGCCATCCTGCAGAAACCCTTGGGCACATTTCCAATTTTATGTAAATATAGATTTAATTATTATGGAAGCACATAATTTTAGAGTTGGAGCGACCTTGGCGGTCATTTAATCCAGTTCAGTCATTTTACAAATAAGTAAGAGTTAGTTGACTTACTTAAGTCCTTCCAGGGAGATTTGGAACCTGTGCTTCTCAACTCTCAGACCGGTGAAGGTGAAACCTTTTCAGATCCCTCCAGAAAGAAGTGCTTTGTCTTGTCTCAGAATTTCCCAAAGCACCATTTTTTTTTTTATTGCCTCTAAGGCCCATAACCCACCCTACATTGCTTTCTAGTTGCTTCCACACGTAGGGTTGGGTCTTGGGAATCATGTCTGATTCATTTTTGTATTTCTTCACCACTCCTAGTTCTATATTTCACAAACATAGTTGCACAATAAGTTTATATTGGTTTTCCTTTGTGCACTAGAGCTCATTGTGTCTTCACATTGGTAGCTTAAAATTGGCCATGGTAGGAGTATTTACACTACAGAAATGGGCAAATGCTACAGATCAAGGATCCTACTCCCCTGAAAATCCAGTTGTTAAACATTTACCATTTTCATAAAGTCTCACAAGGCAGTGGGTCTTTACAAAACCTAAAGGTCTCTCCAGTATGAAGATGACCATTTACCCGTTGCTTAGCATGGGTTGTCTCAAGAGTGATAGAGTAGCCAATTGCTCAAGCCACTCTAATCTTTTCAAGATTCTTATCAGCACAAGTCAGGCCTTGGGACTGCATTAGAATTTGGTTGCTTAGCTAAATTCCACTTACCTTGAAAAGCTCTTTGGGCATGAATGCTAATGGTGACAGAGTCCGAAATATCAGGCACAGTTGAGTGAGAAAAAGTGTATTATCAGAAAAAGTGAACAGGAAAGTTACTATGGCGGAAATTTATACTTCTCAGAAAACCTTCAGTGGTTCCCTATGACCTACAAAAATGCCCAAACTCCTTGCATAAAAATCACACACTGACCACAGTTTACAATTCTGCCCACATTTCCGATCACTCACTTCATTCACTGTTCACCCCCTGTTGGTTTCCACCTTCATGTTGCACGCCAGCCCCTGCTCCAGCCCCTGTGACATTCCCTTCTTCTGAAATGCCCTCCTCTCCCTCCCCAGCTTTTGTTCCTGCTGGTCCCCCCTACTGTGCACGAGCACTTCTGAGTTGGTGTGAAATTTTGTGTGACCGTTCATCTCCTCTCTTGTGTGTCTCTCGGTAGGAGCAGGACCCGAGGTCCCATCGGCCCCGGCAAGTACGGCTATGGTAAGGCCCCGTACATCTTGCCACTGCAGACGGACACCGGACACGCGCCACAGAGGCTTCGCAGACAGAAGCCCTCGTCGCGGCATTCCGGGTCCCAAGGGGAGTCTGCTCCTAGGCATGGCTACAGCCCACCAGCCCACCGGGTCCCCCAGCATGGGCCTCTGTACCAAAGTGACAGCGGCGCCCGTTCTGGACTGCAGGCCTCCGAGGCCTCCGTCTACCAGCTGCCTCTGACCCATGACCAAGGCTTCCCTGCAGCTTCAAGTCTCTTCCACAGCCCGGAAACAAGCAGCAACCATGGTGTGGGGGCCCGCAGGGCAGCTCAGAGCTTCTCCCAGCCTCCCCGATCTGCGGCAATCTCGTGCATTGGAGCCTATCGGCAGTACAAGCTGTGCAACACCAACGTGAGTACGCGCGCCACCCAGCGCTGGGCCTGGCGACAGCTGCCGCTCCTGTCTTCTGTCTGTCGGTGCTGAGCACGTCCCAGCGTACCACTTTTCTTACTCACCTCATTTGACCCTCTGCTTCACCTAATGAGTTTGCTATTCTCTCTATTTTACAGTTGCAAAAAGAGGTTAAATAACTTGTTGAAGATTCTGCAAATTGTCACAGAGATGAGCAAGGGTGTGGTTTTCTAAGCCATGTTAACCTACCTTTTTATCTTCCTTCCTTCTCTCTTCTATCTATTCTTGCCATATACTTTTCTTTTTTATAAGGTTGTTCCTTTAGTGACTTATGCGTAGCTTCTTGAATCACTTATTGAACATCACTTAGAGGTAGTATTAATTAGCTAGTGCTGCATAACAAACAACCCCCAAATTCCCAGTGACTTACATCAACATTATTTATTCTTCACTCAAATGCAATGTTTACTCCGGGGCAGGTGCAGTTTTACTGATTTAGGGCAATCAGTGGTGGTGCCAAGGCGGTAGGGGCGTCTAGTGAGTTTCCTGGGGGTTCCACCTGCTATTCCAGGCATAGACACTTAAGGTGTTGTGTCATAAAGAAGTCTGATCGTGAAGTTGTAAAGGGTCTTCTCCTTTTAGGGAAGGAGCTGGGACCGATGGGGTGATAGACGGCACTCTGAGGCTTCTAGGCAGCATTTGGTCGCTAACTGGTCTAGAAGTCGTACAGCTGTACTGATGTATATGGGCACTTTGGATATTAGTTCAGTAAATATTTATTGATTCTATCTCCATGCATTTTATTAATTTCTACCGTTATTAAAAGCTCACAACAAGCCAGGCTTTGTGCTCAGCACTTATCTCACCTCATTTAATCCTCTCCTTAACCTCATGAGTTTGCGATTCTTCCCATTTTACAGCTGCAGAGAGAGGTCAAGCAACGTGCTGAAGATTCCGCAGCTAGTGAATAGTTTGTCAGTGTAAACTGTCTAAGGCGACCAAGTGTGTTTTTTAGAATATCAGCTTAACAGTTATGTATAAAAGAGAGAGGAGTGAGAAAATGTTAGGAGGTTAAATTTCCAATTTTCTATATTTTTCATTAATAATTTAATCTGCCTTAATATTCTGTTACTGGGTAACAGGACAGCTGTTATGTATTAACTTCAATTTCCTCATTAAAAATATATTTCCTGCTATAGAGTCCATGGAAATGACTTAATTTGTGATCTTAATAATTTTACTGAATGCCTGGATTGCTTTTTAGCTTGTTCTTCCACTGACAGACGTCAGGAATCGTTAATTTTTATAAAGGAGTAATTTCTCTGAAGCCATTACTAATCAGCCAACCAGTACATCTTCATTGAGCATCACTGCTTATCTCGTAATGGACTAAGTGCCATGGAAGATAAAAGATAAAAATCATATTGTCTACCTCATAGAATTGTAACGAGGGTCAAATGAGGAGATGTTATGACAGAAGTTTGTAAATCGAGAAGTAGGGAATTACTTGGGTTCATGATCAGACATGGGCCTTTTTCCTGAGTATCCATTCTGTTCTTTGAAAATGAAATGAATTCATTTGCGAAGTAGAACACATCCTCCCATTGACTAGTACATTTCTTAATTTTGAAAACCAAGCAAACTGTGAAGAGAAGGGAAAAGAGAGAGCATTTGGCATCTATGTGGAGCTGATATCTGCTTAGTGTTTCTTTTATTTAACTTACATTTTTACAGCATGCACTTTTTGCCAGACCTATGCTGCCAACAGCAGGGCTGTTCTCCCATGGAGAAGCTGTGGCTTCCCGGGTGCTGGGGTAACTGCACCACAGAGGAGAATGAATTGCAAGGAATCATGGAAAATTCTTGTGAATTCCTAATGTCGTCTGGCATTTTGGAAGTAAGCAAAACAAAGCCTCCAACCCAGGACAGGGAAGTAAACGTGTACACAGGAGTGCATAAATTCAGTTCCCTTATTTTCCCTGTGATGTTTTGCACAGAGTCCTCCTCCGGCCCCACTGCCCCAAGTCCACATCCCACTTACCCTTACTGAGAGATGTCATTCCTTAGAGGTCCCATTATTGCGTGTCTTCTTTGCATGAGCCCAGCGCTTCTCGTGGATTGGGCCATACCCCATGATTTCTTTAAAATTCTCTCTGTCAGGAGTCCCCAAGACCACTCCTAGGTCTGATGATTCCCTGGGAGGACACAGAAGACTCAGTGTATAGTTGCACTCACGACTATGATTTATTACATCAAAAGAATTGAATAAATAAAGCAAAATTAACAAAAGAACAGGCACATGGGGCCAAATCCATAGGAAACCAGGCAGAAGCTCCCAAGAGACATAGGATATGCTCAACTCCTCCAGTGAAGAATTGTTACAATACTTGTGAAATGCTGTCTACCAGGGAAGCACTCCTGTGACCAAGGTTTTTATTGATGCCTGGTCACATAGGCACCCTCTGCCTGTCACATACCAAAATTCCAGACTCCCAAAAGGAAAGCAGATGTTCAGCATAAACTAGATTTAGGCACAGTAAGCCACTCTTATTATTTAGGGAGTGTTGGGAATCCTCCCAAAATCTAGGCTCCCAGATGTCAGCCACAGACCAGCCTTGCAAGCAGGGCTTTCTAAGGAGAGCAGTTTCAGCTCTGCTATGTTAAATCTGTTTTGCCCACTCCCCGTAGGGGCCCGTACACTGCAGCACCCTCACATGAATCACCTCCTGTAGACATTTGCCTATCCTCCCAGCGTTCAAGATGAAGAGATGATGTGGATCCCCCAATTATGGAAATATCCCTACTCAAAGAGGAAAAAGGTATAGGACAATATTGTGAAAAACCTTACTAATCTAACAGGTAATTCAGGTTATCATTTGTGTCCTCTCTGAAGATTAAAAAATAATGCATGCATCCAGAGATCTCTCCCAGTTATTACTGGGGAGCAGAACAAGAAACGAATGAAGGCCAGGGCAGGTGGGCAGTATCTGCTGATTTCAGAACTTTATCCCTTAAACTAAGTGCCTGGTATATCCCACCCCAACTTTGATGGAACACCCCTGTCCTAAGACTACCCCAGCAGTTGAGGGCTCGGTTCTGGGATGTATGGTAATGAATAGGATGAGTGGTCTGAATTAGGGTCAGTTGTTTTTTCAGGCTTACATAGCTCGGAACAGGGTCTCGACACTGGCCATGGCCCCTCTCTCCACATCCTAATGGCCCAGTGGGGAGGAAGTCCCCCCCATAGCTACTGTCAGTCATGTGCCCTGCTGGAGCACTTCGCGGGGAGGAAGAACTCAGAGCACAGGGGCCGTAGGTTGGGGAGGACTCCAGTGAGGAGGGGAATAGTCGAGTGAGGCTTTTGAGGATGCCCGGAGAAGGGAAAAGAGCATTTGGGAGCAAAAGAAATAGCTTAGCTAAAGACAGGAAGGCAGGATGTGTCAGAATCTCAGGTGCTGCGATGCCTGCCGGGTGGGGGGAACCCTCCTTCCTGCCCTCCTCGGCTCCTCCTGTCCACTTTAAATAATCACAGCCTTGGCCGGGTGCGGTGGCTCACGCTTGTAATCCTAGCACTCTGGGAGGCCGAGGCGGGCGGATTGCTCGAGGTCAGGAGTTCAAAACCAGCCTGAGCGAGACCCCGTCTCTACTATAAAAAAAAATAGAAAGAAATTAATTGGCCAACTAATATATATATATAAAAATTAGCCGGGCATGGTGGCACATGCCTGTAGTCCCAGCTACTCAGGAGGCTGAGGCAGTAGGATTGCTTAAGCCCAGGAGTTTGAGGTTGCTGTGAGCTAGGCTGACGCCACGGCACTCACTCTAGCCTGAGCAACAAAGCAAGACTCTGTCTCAAAAAAAAAAAAAAAAAAAAAAAAATCACAGCCTTAATGGGGAATTTGTTTTTTAACATCTCAAAATGGGGAGATGACACATGGGCCTTGCTTGACATTCATACATGAGATAGGTGCGTGGGAAACTTTAAAAATACACAGTGAGAAGTCAGAAAGCAATTCTAATCAACTGTTAGACCTGCAGGCAGGATGGGATAGGGAGTGACGGGTCTGGGAGTGGCGCTGCGCTGGATCGAACCCCAGCTTTGACTCTGGGGAACTGAGTTTCCTTGGACAAGTCACTTAACTCTCTGAGGACCATCGGGAAAGGGCAGAAAATAACAGTCCATCCCTCTTTAGGGTTGATCCAAGGTTCAGACAAGATCGGGCATATGGGAGGTTGGCATGGTGCCAACGCACTGTTAGTAAGTAAACCATTTGGACCTGGCTAAGCGAATATGAGTTACATACCTCTCTGCAGATAAGCATGGAGTAAAGTCTCTCTGTATCTGAATAGCTTCCAAGTTCTAAGCAGTAACTTATGAAACGTGTGTATGAAATGGCCAGACTTGCTCAGAGTCCCCCTTTGTCTTCTGTGTCAGCTGTGATTGAAAGTCCTTTCCCTTTGCCCAGTGATAACACAAGGTTGCTGAGAGACCCAGCACTTCATCTGTGATGTAGTTTCAGTGTAATCACCCTTGGGTTGTGGTTTTAAAGTGATGAAAGTGAAACTGTAGATAACCAGCTTCATGTCAATGAATTCTTTGCACCCTCCAGTGTGCATGTTTAATATTAAGCCCTACCTTATGGCGTCATCTGGGAATTTGAAGCATTCTAGCATGTCTTCAAGATTGTTCAATTCATATAAGATGTCCTCTATGAAATACTGCAAAATCAACAATAAATGTCAGCACTAATGATCTCTGAGTGTACACTTTAAAGATAAGGAAGGTCTTTTTTTCCCTTGCCTACAGTGTGTATCAGGAAGTTAAAATGACACACTCCCGTATATACAGAGAATCTATGGTCTTTTTGAGTGGGTGTCAATCTCAGACATCTATCCGTGCAACAGTCTCCTTCAGGTAGTCTGTACGTGGTAGAGGCAACACCCCATCCGGTCCCAGGTCTGTCAGACACTCCTATCACAGGTTCGTGCTTGGAGTCCATAAGCACAGCGTTGGCAGTGATTGAGTGGGGTCAGGTGTTAGGCTGTGGGTCGGGGACATTAGAGCAAGCTTTTGCCCTCTGTGGCTCGGAGTCCAGTGAGAAAGATAGATTCATAACTAGGTAATAACAGTGCAGATCATACACGCCACGGCACATGCCACGTAGGCACTTTGAAATCCCCAGACACTGGGAATTAACCCGGCTTGGGTGGAGTCTGCGAAGGTGTCCTAGAGAAGTGCAGTTCCTGGGGAGGGGAGGGGAGGGCTTTTTAGGAAGAGGAAATGCCAGGGGCCCTAGAGTCCCTTCGCATTCCCATAGGGGCTCAGGAGCAGATGGGGATGCTTGGGAACCTCTTGGTGGCGTCAGGTGTTTCTCCAGTGAGTTAAGGTTCCATTCACAAGTTTGTCTTCAGCAGGGAAGGGGCAACGCAGGGGGTGGGGGGAGCCCTGACTTACCTGCAGCCCTGCCCTTTCTCAGCGGTGGCTAAAAGCAATAGGCACTCAAGGAACGGAGCAGCCACGCTTCGTTACGCTTCTTTGCGGAAGCTCACTGAAGCCCAGTACTTAAGAGCTAGAGGTTTTAATAGGGGCGAAACAGGGGAAGGAGAAATCAAACCTCATTTCTTCTGGTGCTTGAAGGGATGCAGTTAAGAAAATACTTTTCTATTTGCTCTTTCTGGGGTTTGTGTCATTTGCCAAATACGAGAACCGACCAAGTCACCTTCGGCCCGTTGTCCTGGAGGCCAAAGTGTCTCTCTCCCCACCTTCCAGTCGGCACTTTCTACCGAGGGAGGAGACTGAGGCACCTGGCCCCTTCAGAAGGGGCTGTGGTGAGTCGCCTGGCGCACGGCGGGGAAGGCTGTGAGGTTTTAAGGACTTTGCTGCCAAAGGAGGCGTGGTCCTGAGTGTAGACAGAGTGCGCTGAACGGTGAGGGGAGGACTCCTGGGGCCAAAGGCAGCTTTTCCAAAGGCGGATGTGATGAGTTCTGGTATCAGTGACTCTCCGGCGTATTTCCCTGGGGGTGGAGCTGGCGTCTGGCCGTGGGTGTGTCCACGCGAGTTGTTTCTGCCTCAGAGCAAGTGAAAATAAAGGAGGGTGTTGGACGGATCTCAAGTGTAGGGAGCGTGCTCTCTCTGCAGGCTCATTCTAACTCCGCCCCACTTCTCCTCTGACACTGAATGAAAGGAGAGCTAACAGCTGACAAACAGCCTCCTGACTGCAGTTTTAAGGAGACGCTTGGCAAAACGGCTGGGCAGGAGTTGAGTGCGATTCTGTGAAATGCGCAGCTGGCCAGAAACCAGGGCCAGTGACTGGGTGGACAGGCCGTCCGACTGGGGGCTCAACATGAGTTTCTCTCATCATGAGCTTATCACCAAACTCCTCATCTGGGAAGTGTGTCAGTGCTTTTGGTAGCATTCTGCTTTCCATCTTCTTAGACCACTTGTAATTTCCATAGAAAGTTCTCTTACTGACTTTTACATATAAATCACACACACACACACACACACACATCACACACATACATGACTTGTTCACAAATGTCACTTGTCATTTTTCATGAATAGTAAGAACTAGCACAGTGATAGAGACAGATATATCCTATCCCTCTCCCTAGAGGCGATCACAGCCATCTTTAACTTTTAGTTCTTGTGGTCATTCTCTCTGTAATGACAAACAGCTTGCTGATACCTCTGCTTCTTGGTGTATCACCTTTCCCCAACTCCTCACTCTGAGGGATGAAGAAACAAACCCCCCCCCTTCCTCCCACTGTGCTGGCCACGCTTTTACTTTTACTTATATTTTTGTTTATATATGTAGTATTAATATATTAAGAATTTTTATTTCCTTCATTTATCAACTTTAGGAAGAATCAGTTAACTCTTTGCTTTGCAAGATTAGAAATTTAGTGTCAAAATAGGATATTAAATTCCTGTCCTTGCATTATATGTTTCTGTTCATGTATTTTTCTCACCTTGGCCTGTAAAATCGGTGCAAGAGGCTATTATGACAGATTCTTCTCTGCATCCTCATTAGTCACAGCACCTGACACATGCAGGGACATAACGAACATTTGCCTTTGAATGGAATTTCACACTCTGCCCTAGCAGATAGCAGAGGGAAAGAAAACCAGTCTCATTCATGTGATACCGGAAGCAGCCACTGGGAGATTTATGCTTCTTGGGAGAGTAAGGGTTTTGAATGTTAATAACTTCACATTTTGCCATACACTTCTGGATCAGTTGGGAAAAAAGGCATTCTCTTTTAGACCTCCTTATAGGCATAGAGATATATAGATAATGTAAAGAGGCAGAAATGGATAAGCACTCTCGGGATAGGCCTAGATTTGTAGGGGTCCGGAGTACTTAAAAATAGATTCTCTTGGGTGAATGGTTGAGCTTATTCTTATTAACATCCTCTGGGACTTTGATGTATGTATTGAAAGAGAGGGAAACACTCTCCTCTCGGAGAACATTATGAACTTCCCTTGGATGGAAAAAAAAAAAAGGTGTTTGAGATTGCAGAAAAACCCATATATTTTTAAACCCAAAGCCTTGCCCCAACTCTTTGTACAAACCAATTCCCTGACTGGAGAATTGCTGGAAGTGGTGGGAGGTGGCAAAAGAATTTTCGTGAAGTTGAGTTTGTTCTGTGCGGCTTGAGAAAGGAGATATTAAGGATATTTGAAAAGTGTGCTGGATAGCTTGGAAGAAATGTTGGCCCGTGGTTATGTTACTCCGTAGTTGGAAAGTGAAGCCCGCTGTCCAGCTGTAGAAGAGAAAGGAAGGAAGGGGATGTTTACTCAGAACACCTACCTTTCAGGCCCGTATGGCTTCTGGAGCTGCTGGATTCATCTCTGGTGTCTCCAATTCAGCTGACATGCACTGAGCATTACTGTGAGGGGGAAACTTTAATGTATAACTAATTTAATCCTCACAAAAATCCCTGGGGATTGAGGCCCAGGGTGTGGTGTAGGGTTTGTTAGGCAGAAGTAGTAGTTGAGGCTTTGAGAAACTAAATGTTTTGCTCAAGGTCACATAGCCACTTTCTTCTGGCAGTGCAGGGATATTTTCTAGATTTCCTTTTTTGCAGCTTTCATCACTGTGGTGATGTTAAGTACATCATATGTTGCTATGGTAGCTGGTCTTTTGATTGAATCCAGAGCAATGCAAAGGATTAAAAAAAATTCACATCTGACCCAGGCAGACTTCAAGGTCATGTTCCTTGGTGCCACCTTCCTTGGGGATGATGCTCGTTGTCTCCTGGGGAGATGAACGTAATTAATTAACAAAAGGTGAGCGTGTCATTACTGACAGTGGCCTCTTGAGCAGTGAAGTTTGGTGCAGGCAGTTGTCATCTCGGATCAACCAGGGTCACTGGAAGCGTAGCTGGATTTTCCATAATACCATTTGTGACTCATAGCAACCCCAGGCAATTGTCTAGATGGAACTTTGGATAGGGCCCGTATCCTGTATTGCTTTATGAGGATTCAGCTCATCATGTTGAAGTACATCTTTATTTCTCTTCCCTTAAGAGTCCAGTGGAAACATCCCTCCCTCTTTGGGGTGGAAGGGATCATTTGAAGGGAGGTTTCTCCCAGGGGCATAGCTTGACTGTAGAGCTCCAGTCTTTGTGGGTCCCATCCCGAATGAGCCTGATCTCTGTTCACATGGCCTGTCCCCCAGTGTTCTGGGCTGAAGATTACAAGACTGTGCCCATGGAAAGAGCCAGCTGTCTGCAGGAAACCTGCCCCGAGGTCAGTTCACAGTCTAATGCAGAGATGGCAACTCAGTCTATGACATCAGGAAACAGCCAATTTAAAATACAGCAAATGCAGAAGGATCTGTAACCTGGAAGTTTAAACTTCAGAGAGCCTGTTAAAATGAGAGGAGATCACATACTGATAATAGGATGACAAGTACAAACAGATGTAATCTATAAAAGAAACATGAAACAGGATTTCCCAGGCCCTGCTTGGTTTCCATCCTCACTGCACAGCTCCCTGCCCCTGGCAGCTGGGGCCAGCCACTGCACCCTGCTTCAGCGGCCTCCAGGCCTATCCTGACAGCGGGCAAGAAGCAGTTAAGGCTCTCTTGTGTGAGGACCCATCAGAGATTAACTTTGCTGTCCACATAGTTAGGAGGGGCACCATGGCATAGTGGTGACTAGCATGGGCCCTAGACCCAAAATGCCTGGGTTCAAACCCTGGCTTTACTACTTACTAGCCCTGTGACCCAGGCAGCTCATTTAACTTTTTGTTGCCTTGGTTTCCTAATCTGTAAAATGGGTATAATAGTTTTTGTGAGGATTAAATGAACTAATATATATATATATTTGTATATATGATTTATACATATATATAAATCAATATATATATAAATCAATATATATATATAAATCATATATATATACATATATATATATAAATCATGTGGTGGAGTGTCTGGCATTTAGTAAGTGCTCAATAAAAGCTAGTGAGTCTTACTATCCTCATCACGCCCTGCTTCTCCCTTCCTTGCCTGTACCATAATGCTGTCTCAACGACCCACTTCCACGTCTGGGCTCAAGGAGTCTTGCATTTCTCTGGCCAGGGCTCTCCCAGGAAGTAGTACCCTGCCTCTGACTGGCAGTTCTCCTGGCATCATGGGAGCCCCTGATTGGGGTCGCACACAGGGCCATGCCCATCTGCCAGGGCACCTTGTCACCTCCTGATACACCGTCCATGCCAGCTGCTTGCCTGACTGTAAAGTGGACCTGTGAGGCCTGGCTGGCTCCTGGCACCTGTTGGTGGCTTTGCCGGCTGCCGTGGCTCTGGTGCCACGTTAAGCCCTTCTGCCTCAGGAGGAAACTGGCTATGCGCAGAGACAGAGAGCTTGTTGGTGATCAGGGGACAGGGTGTCTGGAGCGACTCATCACCAGTTAGCTTGGCAGATGTATATGGATGCAAGTAAGAGCACCGGGCATTAGTGGATTATGAAAACACAACATACGATTGTAAACTACAAGCACATGCCAAGCTGGCTGAGGGCCGCTATACTGGGAATATCTCAATACTGATATATTGACCTTTTTTTTTTAAATTAAGAGTAGGGTCTCCCTCTGTCATCCAGGCTGGTGTGCAGTGGCGTCATCATAGCTCACAGCAAGCTCAGACTCCTGGGCTCAAGCGATCCTCCTGCCTCAACTACATGAGTAGCTGGGACTACAGGTGGGAGCCACTGTGCCTTCCCAAATTGTCATTTTTATTACATGAATATTATTTATTGCAGAAAAATTAGATAATACAAAGGGACAAAAATTAATTGTGAGTAGAAAACGTCTATAACCCCACCTTCCAGAGATAACACTTTAAACCTCTTTTTCTACACACACACACACACACACACACACACACACACACACACGATTATTTTAACACTTTTGTAAGTTAATGCGTTGTGGACTGCTTTGCATGTCATGTAATATACATTTACATTATTAAGTATTGAGTGATTCTAGATGAATCTGAAGGTGTATTTCTTTACGATCATAACTATTAGCAGTATTTTGCTCATGGAGAGCAAGGGGTTAAGCAGACTGTCTTAAGTCTTAGTGGTCTACAGCATCCAATTCTGGTAACAGCCGCCAGATTAATTACTGGTGGCTTCTGGCGAGAGCCTCATTGCGGAGCCCCTGGGCTGTATGTAAGTGTAGTCCTTTGAGGAACGGGACATTTAGCTCGCCTGCGCCAGTCTGTTTCTGTTATGAAAGGTGGCAGCCCGGCACCTGATGTCTGCTTTCTGAGTATGGGCAAGGTGGGCGGTCAGCACCCTGGCTCTGCCTCCATGTCACTGTGGGGCCTTTGGCAAGGTGTGCCACCTCTCCAGCCTCAGTGCTCTTGTCTGTAAGCTAGAGGGGTTGGGTTGCTCTTCCGCTCTGGCACTCTGTGACTCCGTGTTAAGTAATTTGGAGTGAGATTAGGGCTTGGGTGTGGCTCCTAATTGCCGCCAAACAGCCTGGTGCCAGGCTGGCTGCAGAATCACCCAAGGGAGCACTTAAAGCTTATATTCCTGGGCTCCCTTCCCCACCCTCCTGGGGTGAGGCTTGAGAATCTGTACTTTCAATAAATCTTTTAGTTATTCTTTCTTTCCTTTTTTTTTTTTTTTTTGAGATAGAGTCCTGTGCTGTTGCCCAGGCTAGAGTGCTGTGGCATCAGCCTAGCTCACAGCAACCTCAAACTCTGGGCTCAAGCAATCCTCCTGCCTCAGCCTCCTGAGTAGCTGGGACTACAGGCATGTGCCACCATGCCTGGCCTAGTGGCCTAGTGATTCTTTCTTGAAGCCAAGTTTGGGGACTGCTGCAGGGATGGTACCTTCTCCAATCACCCGACTGTCCACATGCTACCCGAACTTTGGCTCAGACTAAAGGATTGTGCAAAGCATCTCAACCCAAACCTGTTCATGGATACAGCTGGTGTTTCTGGAAGCCAACACAGGTCTGGCTTCAGGGCCACTGGCAGGTTGGTTTCCAGAGTCCTTGGAGACGCTTTCCCGCCTGTCAGCCCTTCCCTGGTTGTCAGAGCTCAGCCCACCCAGCCTGTCCACCCGCCCTTTTGTTCCCACCAGTTGTCATCATGTTCTGCTTCACGTGGCTTTCCTGCTCCATATGGTTTGGCTCAGGTCACAGCGGGGCTGTGACCACCCTGGGCATTTGTACCAGCAGTCCCTGCCGACTGTCCTTCATCAAGCAGGAGATGTTTCCCTCCCACCTGGTGTCAGTCCCCCCTCTATTCCTTCATCTTTTTTTTAATTTCAGCATATTATGGGGGTATAGATTTTAAGGTTTCAATAAATGCCCATTCCCTCCCCCAACAAGTCAGAGTCTCCAGCATGACCATCCCCCAAATGGTGCACATCTCACTCATTATATATGTATATACCCGCCCCCCCACGCCCCCTCCCACCTGGCCCAATACCCTATTACTGTAGTATCTATGTGTCCACTTAGTGCTGCTCAGTTAATACCAGTTTGCTGGTGAGTATATGTGGTGCTTGTTTTTCCATTCTTGGGAAACTTCACTTAATAGTATGGGTTCCAGCTCTAACCAGGAAAATATAAGATGTGCTATATTACTGTTGTTTCTTAGAGCTGAATAGTACTCCATGGTATACATATACCACATTTTATTAATCCATTCTTGGATTGATGGCACTTGGGCTGTTTCCACAGCCTTGCAATTATGAATTGTGCTGCTATAATTCAAGTGCAGGTGTCTTTTGTAGAGTGTCATGGATCTTTTGGGTAGATGCCCAGCAATGGGATTGCTGGATCAAATGGTAGATTCACTTGTATCGCTTTAAGGTATCTCCATATTGGTTTCCACAGAGGTTGAACTAGTTTGCAGTCCCACCAGTAGTGTAGGAGTGTTCCTCTCTCTCCGCATCCATGCCAGCATTTATTGTTTGGAGACTTTTTGATAAAGGCCATTCTCCACTGGAGTTAAGTGATATCCATTGTGGTTTTGATTTGCATTTCCCTGATGATTAGAGATGTTGAGCATTTTTTCATATGTTTGTTGGCCATGCTTCTGTCTTCTTTAGAAAAGTTTCTGTTCAAGTCCTTTGCCCACTTTTTAATGGGGTTATTTGATTTTCTTCCTGATTTTTGTGAGTTTAAGTTATTCTAGTTATCAGCCCTTATCAGATGCGTAGGATGCAAATATCTCTCCATTCTGTAGGTTGTCTGTTTGCTTTCATGACTATTTCTTGGCTGTGCAGAGCTTTTCGTTTGATCATGTCCCATTTATTTATTTTTGTGTGCTGTGATTGCCTTTGGGACTTCTTCATAAAGTCTTTGCTAGGCTGATGTCTAGGAGAGTGTTTCCAACATTTTCCTCTAGAATTCTAATAGTTTCATACCTTAGGTTTAAGTCTGTTATCCAGCGTGAGTTGATTTTGTGAGAGGTGAAAGGTGTGGGTCCTGCTTTAGCCTTCTACAGGTGGCTATCCAGTTTTCCCAGCACCATTTATTGAAAAGGGATTCTTTCCCCAGCGTATGTTTTGTCTGCTTTGTCAAAGATTAGATGCCTATATGAGGATGGTTTATATCAGGATTCTCAATCTGTTCCACTGGTCCATATTCCTATTTTTGTGCCAATACTAGATTGATTTAATTACTACAGCTTTGTAGTATAGTTTGACATCTGGCATATGCCTCCCATTTTGTTTTTGTTGCCTAGAATTGCTTTTGATATTCGGGGTCTTCTTTGGTTCCATACGAAGCGTAAAATTATTTTTTCTATATCTGTGAGAATGCTGATGGGATTTAATAGGTATTGCATTGAATCTGTAGATCAGTTTGGTAGTATAGACATTTGATGATGTTGAGTCTGCGATCCACGAGCATGGTATGGATTTCCATCTGTTACATCCTCTGCTATTTCTTCCTCAGTGTTTCATAGTCTCCCTGTAGAGGTCTTTTACGTCCTTGGTTAAGTATATTCCTAGGTACTTTTTTCTTGTTGCTATGTGAATGGAATTGAGTCTTTGATTTGGTTCTCAATTAGATTGTTGTTGGCGTATATGAATGCCTCTGATTTCTGTGTATTAATTTTGTATCCTGAGACTACTAAATTCATTTATCAGTTCCAGGAGTTTCTTGGTTGAATCCTTGGGGTTTTCTAGATATAATATCATATCATCAGCAAAGAGTGAAATTTGATCTCTTCTGCCCCTATTTGGATGCCTTTAATTCCACTTTCCTGTCTGATTGCTGTAGCCAGGACTTCCAGCACATGTTGAACAGAAGTGGAGATAGTGGGCAGCCTTGTCTGGTTCCAGTTCTAAGTGGGAATGCTTTCAGTTTTTCCCCATTCAGTATGATGTTGGCTATGGGTCTGTCATATATGGCTTGTATCATTTTTAGGTATGTCCCTTCTATGCCTATTTTATTAAGTGTTCGTATCATGAAAGAATGTTGAATCTTGTTCCTTCATCTTGAGGGAGACCTGTGTTCCTGGTATGTGCAGTAGATTTCTTTACAAATCCGTGAAGACCTTGAACTATTGTATTAGTGGTTTATTCCAGAGATGTCTTCTACACAGTGCTTTTCAATGTTAAGGGGCCAGATTCCCTCCCTTTCTGATTATTAAAACATACACACACACCCCACACACATTTAAGTGTGTGTAGCTAGGTTTAAAGTTTAAGCGTGTAGCTAGGTTTAAGAATCTAGATCATACTTTATCCACAGTATGAATTAGAGATTCTGATCTTATTATTTTACTTTTTTCACACTTATTTAATGTTGCACTTTACTCATATTTACCATTTATAAACAAGAAAGAAATAAACCAGAGGAGACTGTATGTTGTCTTTGAGTATTCTAGTGTATCGGAATCACCTGGGTAAACTTGATAAAATACAAATTCCTGGACCTCGTCCCAGACTCGCTGAATGATAATATCCCTGGGGGAGGGACGCAGAAGTTTGCATTTCCAGCTAGATCTCTGAGTGATTCTTTTGCAAGCTAAATGCTAGGAATTCCTGTGTTAAGTGGTGGGCAGAATTTGGACTAGAATTTAGAAAAGATGGAGAGGACAGTGAGAGACAGCCTGGTGGGTGCTGCCTGCTTGGCTTTGAATCCCAATCCTGCCCCTCACTGGCTGTGCGACTTTCCGTGCTTTAGCTTGCTGTCTGTGAAAAATCTGTAAGACTGTAATGTTGACCTCATGGGTGTTGCAAGGAATAAATGAGTGAATACGTGCAGCGTGTTTAAAGTCGTGCCTGGCACATGGTCAGGGCTCTAAAAGTGTTTTCTGTGGATGTTGCGAGGGGAATGGAGTGGACAAAGTCAAACAGACGGAAATGGACAGTCTCTCTGAGGGAGGGGAGTAGACCGATTTGTCATTATGTCAGTGGTTTTCAAATTATGGCACGCAAAAAATTAACCTGGGGGGCTTGTTAAAAAATTTAGCGTCCCTACGAAGATTCTGAGTTAGTAAACTTGGAGTGAAGCCTGGAGATCTGCATTTAAAATTTTTAACACAGGTTATGAGCAAATTTTCAGAAACCCTGGTTTAGGTAGAGGAGGACTGGCATTCAAAGTCGGAAAGGTATCCTGGGGTTTGACTGGGGCTATGAAAAGTACAGACACTGATTGCGTATTTAATGTCTGCTTTATTAGGTATGTCCAGAAAGCAGTAGAAGTATCCGGGAGGTTCAGTGTGCATCCTACAACAACAAGCCGTTCATGGGCCGGTTTTATGAGTGGGAACCATTTGCAGAAGGTAAGAATAGACCCAGCCCTGTCCATGGAAGTTATTTTTGTCTGCTTTTCCACCCTGCTCCGTCCTGGTTGATGCTGGAGGCACTGGTGTGGTTGGTGTGTCCGCGGGGAGAAAGTGTGGTCCCAGGGCAAAGGGAGCCTGCAGGGGTCTTTACCAAAGGTAGCATAGCTCAGGTGACACGTGGACCATCCTCAGCACGCAGTTGGGTGGATGAGGCATTGATGGAAATAAGCACCATCTGAGGATGGCACGGTGACGGGGCCGTAACAGGGTTCCAGGAATCAGTCGGAGCAAGAGGCTCAAACCTGAAGTGAGCAGTGAACAGGGATGGAGTTTCCCTTTTTCTTTGTTCCTGCTACAAGGGCTGACGAGGAGGCTTAAGAGAGCATGTAGGGTTGGCAGTTGTATGGTTGCACCTGTGGGGGTCCTGGGAGTCCCTGCACGCTATTCCCAAAGACAAAAGTGGACAGGCATTGCCCTTGGGACCAAGGTCCCTGTTACTTCCAAAAATCACAGAAGATCTGAAGTTGGTAGAGCATGTCAGCTTTCCTTTGTTGAAACTCAGATGATAACATGTCTTTGGACTAAGGAGGGTTACATTCTGAGACATTTTTTCCCATCACAGAGAGAGTGGGCTCAGAAGTGGTGTTGGGTCAGGCAGAACATGTGGAGGCTGTATGCTGACAGCAAGGCTGGCTGAGAGGGGACTCCAGCTACCTCCAGTGCCCCGTGGAAGAGCTCTGCCAGCCAGCCTTCTCAGCCTCGGGCCAAGGCAGGGGCTGGGACAGCTGGGGTTGGCCAAAACCCAGAGTGCAGAGCACTGCTGTTAGCCTGGGGTCTGGAGAAACGGTCTTGGGAGAGGGATTGATAGTGAGTTGTGCTGATTTCACTGCAGAATCAATGCCTGGGGAAGCCAAGCTGTGGATGGTAGTGCCTAAGTTTCAGCCCTTGGGGCTGGGGAAGGGGAATTGCTATCTGACCACTCTGAAATTGGATGCCAAATTGTTTTTGTCTGTGCATTATTCTTAGAAGAGAGTCTGGAGCTTCTATCAGAGTCTCAGAGTGGTCCTGTGACCTGAAAATTATTAAGAACTAACTTGACTAAAAGATTGGGACTATCAGATCCAAACGGGGAAGATGTACTGATGAAATGTAGTGCTGGAGAATGCAAATACAAGGGTGGATAAGAAGTTGGAGGGTGAGCAAAGGAAGGAAGCCTGGAATGAAGTTTTGATTCTGGGAATTTATCTTGGTTCTCACCTTTTTCATTCTTAAAAACATTATGCTAAATTCAAGGCAGTACCCCAATTTGGATCCTGGAATAAAATGGCATTGGTGGAAAACCTGGTGAAATATGTATAATGTGTATAGGTTAGGCTGGGAGCAGTGGCTCACACTTGTAATCCCAGCACTTTGGGAGGCTGAGGAGGAAGGATCACTTGAGACCAGGAGTTGGAGACCCGTTGGGCAACATCGCAAAAAATTAGCTAGGCATGGTGGTGTTTACCTGTAGTCCCGGCTACTTGGGAGGCTGAGGCAGGAGGATTGCTTGAACCTAGGAGTTTGAGGCTACAATGAGCTATGATTAGGCCACTGCACTCCAGCCTGGACAACAGAGTGAGACCCTGACTCTAAAAAATTTTGTTTTAAAAAGAGTATAGATTCATTAATAGTATTTTACCAGTGTTAATATCTTAGTTTTTATAAATGTTCCATAGTTTTATAAGATGTTAACATTAGAGGAAGCTGGGCAAAGGGTATACAGGAAATCTCTATACTACGTTTGCAACTCTTCTATAAATCTAAAGTGACTTCAAAATAAAACTTTTTGAAAAAGGCATTGTACTCCCAGTTAGCTTGGTATTACATGCATTCTGGTGAACACAAATTCTAAGACTTACTTAACATGGGTGAGGAAGAGTGCATTGCGTAAATGGTGTCCTCTTCCCCCAAGTTTGTATCCTTCCTGGAACCTCAGGATGTGATCTTATTTGGAAATAGGGTTATTGCAGATGTACTTAGTTATGTTGAGTTCATACTAGAGTAGGGTGGGCTCTTATTCTAGTATGACTAGTGTTCTCATAAGAAGAAGAGAACTGACGTACGGGGAGGATGCCAACTGATGATGGAAGCAGGGATTGGAGTGATGCGTCTAGAAGCCAGGCAATACCAAGGATTGCTGGCAACCACCACGAGCTAGGAATGGACAAGGAGGTGTCCTCTCCTGGGGCCTTCCAAGTGGACAGGGCCCTGCTAGCACCTTTCTTCTGGACTTCCAGCCTCCACAACTGTGAGAATAAAGTTCTGTTGTTTTAAGCCACCAAGTTTGTGGTATTTTATCATGCAGCTTTAAGAAACTAAAGAGGAAGGAACTGGGTTCTGGATGAACTGAGTCTCCTTTTGTGAGTAGATTGGGGGTGAGGTTGGTCTGAACAATAGTAGGAGATGCCTTAGATAAGGGAGACACGTCTCCCAAGTGGGTGATGGCCTCATGGATTCAGGGCTTTCCAAGGCGGTGGGTCTCAGCCCAGTTGCTCATCAGATTCACTGAGGAGCCTCCTAGAAACACTGATGCCTGAGCCCCACCCCTAGAGGTTGTGATTTAATTGGTCTGGGCTACAGCCTGGGCTTCAGGATTTTTTAAAGATCCTGGGTGATTCTTAGGGGTAGCTAAAGTTGAGAACCTCTAATCCAAGAGGAAGGCAGGATTTCCAGAGAGGTGATGACCCCAGACTAAGTCAAGGGACAGAATCATGGGTTTTTCATAAACCATGAAGTATGTTCTTGTGTGAGAAGAACAATACATGGCAGTGAACATTTAGAGAAGCCACCTTGGCTTCTGTGCGAGCCGTGCCCTGGCTTTATTGCTGGCTGTGATAATAGCTGCTTTATTGTGATGGACTGGAGGGAAGATGCACCCTCCCGGCAGTGCACACTGCTCGGCACGCCGTGCACTTCCTCCTCTGCCCAGGAACTGCAGCTGCGTTGCCGACCTCCTCTGCATGGTTGGGGCAGCCGTCGGCTCGCTGCTGTTGTCCAAGACCTCAGCATCCCGCACGGCCTCCAGATCTGGCAGACTCGGGTCTGATGCTGACAGCCCGATGCAGGCTGCACGGGAAACACTTTGCTCACGTTTTCATGTATTACAAACATTCCCTCCGGACGGCTGCTGTTTTCTGGTTTATGTATGATTCCACTTTTTCTGGGTTTTTTTGCCCCTCCCCAGGTTTGTGCTAGACTTTAATCTGGGAGAATTTATTTTTTAAACATTTGCGTTAACTTAATTATTTTGGAAAATGTCAAACATAGGTAAACACACAGAATAGTATAATAGCATAATACTAAGGTCCTATATACCCATCACTTAATTTCAACAGCTATAAGGCCATGGCCAGTCTTTTTCATAAATACCCCAATCTCTCTACCCCACACAGATTATGGGAAACTATCTCAATTTGCATTATACAGCATTATCTGTTGATGGATATATTAATTGGAACTCTTGGTTTTAAGCAACAGAAACCCAAACTAAATACGTTTATAGAAGAAAGATATTTTGTTGTCATGTTACTTGGAAATCCAAGAGATGGACTGGAATTCAGATATGGCTGCATTTTGAGGGGTCGATCACATTAGGACGCTGCCTTTCTTGTCTTTCTTCATCCCGCGGCTCTGCTTACTCCCGTCTCAGGCAGACGAGCAGGCACGCATGGTTTGACCTTGTGATCGTAATGGGAGAAACTCTCCCCCACGTGGTGGTGTCAGTTGAATTGCATTCCCCAGAAAGATAGGGTGAATTCCTAACCCCTGGTGTCTGTGAATGTAACCTTACTTAGAACGAAGGTCTTTGCAGATGTGAGTAAGATGTGAGCTGAGAAGAGGTCAGACTAGAGCAGGGTGGGCCCGAATCCATTTGACTGGTGTCCTTACAAGAAGAGGAGAAGAGATACGGAGATACATATTGGAGTGATGTAACTACCTACGATCAAAAGGTCACCAAACACTGCTGTCAACTACCAGAAACCAGCAAGAGGTGTGGAAAGACTTTTCCCCAGGACACTGCGGAGGGAGCGTGGCCTGCTGACACCTTGACTTTGGATTTCTGGCCTCTAGAACTGTGAGAGAATAAATTCCCGTTATTTTATGCCAACCAGTTTGCGTAATATGCTATGGCAGCCCTAGGAAAGCAATATACCTAGTGTCTGATCCAACCTCAGCAAAACGACACGATGGTCTTGTTCGGATCACATTCCTGTCCCTGGACCTAAGTTTGGGGCCTGCGGTACTTGAGCTCCAGGGTGAGGGACCCACATCACACGAAGTGGCGACAGAGAAGTGGGGATGGGGACAGATGGAAAAACAGACTGTTCTTCAAAATCAGTGTATACTACTTGAATATAAGCCACTGAGATATTTAGTGAGCTAATTAGCATACTCGTGTTTTACAGAAGAAAATGCAGAATAGTCATAGATTAATCAGCCGTCTTCTGCAACACGTTAGAAGAAAATTCAGTGGGCTTTTTAAAACATTCACTGACATTGATATTTCTCACTTGCCTGGAAGGAGTGAAGGAGCCCATGGTCATCGGAGTCACGTTTACTTTGGCTTTGTTTAAATAATTATTTTTGCTGCTAAGATTGTTTTCTTGACTTTATCCTTCCTCCTCTTCAGTGGTTCCCAGGCAACCTGGCGGGAGGAAGACACTGCTAAAGTTTCTGCAGGGTCGTCATACTTCACGGCTGGATTTCGCATCGGGCTCTTGGTTTTGTTTGGATGTCTACTGCTATTCGCATGTGCCTACTTAGGGAAACAGCTGCGCTCGTTCAGTACAACGCCACATAGAGCAGTAAAAACAGAGTATACTCTCTGATAAACACATTAATTTCACCAGATGGTTCTTCTTAGGCCTTTAATTGCATTTCCTGGATATGATGACCTGTCCGTAGATAATGCCTCTAGGAATTTTTTCATAGCCCTAGACCTAGTGTTGCACAGATGG